TATATATACTCTCCATTTGAATTTCACATGCAATTATGAGCGTATTTATGAGAAACGCGTTTATTGTAATTATGAGAAAGTGATGAAATATTTCAAAATTTATCTAAGAATCCGATTGCTGGACGAAAATATTATTTAATTAATAAAAAATTATTTAAATTTTAATTTAAAAATGTTTTAAAATATTTAATTTTTTAAAAGAAAAATTGAGTTGTTGAGGCTCGACAGATAGGGTCGAGCTTTGGGTATGGTATTCAAAAGACTAAATGAGTCGGTTCAGTCGACATATATGTGCATGTATGTGATTTTTTTATTTGTCTATAAATATAAATAGCAAGCTTTATATACATAGGGATTCTTGACATGCTCTACCTAGCTTGATCATGAATGAAAATAGAAAAGTGTGTATAGAAATATAAAGAAATTAATTATAACAAAAAGAAAATTTTTGGATCTATCCGTACAACGGTCTCAAAACTCATGGTTTTGGAAAATGACCGTAGATTGAGTAATATTGACTGGAGGAATTGAACATAGTAGTTTTCAATTTCCTGGGTATGGTTATTAATTTCATAATTACTTCGACAACAAAACCTTTGGTTTTTTATTAGAAAAGGCAAAAAAATCCAAAATCAATGGGTTTCGATCTAATCTGATATCTTATGGTCGATTTTTTTTTGTTATGAAAATCGGGTATCGGGTAAGGTCAGGTGACATAAAGAAAAAATCGAGGTCGGGTTTTAGGCAAATTTGATCCGATTTATATAAATTATTTATTTAATTTTGTATTTATTTATATATATTTAATTTTATATTTATATTAAAAATAATATTTTATATTTAAAAAATAATATTTTATTAATTTTAGATCGAATCGATCGGGTACGATTTTATATAATATTAAATCAAGTCGAGTATAAAAATAATAAAAAATTTATCGGATCAGGTCGGGGAGAACAAAAACCTGTCCTAACCCGACCCGTTGCCATCACTATTTTTTATAGTATATATGGTGTAAACATATTATTGACTTTGCTGACTATCTTTTTATGTTTTTGCAATTTAGTCCAATTGATTACTTTACTAATAGTACTCCATCTAACTGATTCTTTTGTTATTTGCTATTTATTTTTTACTCTCAGAGATTGGTTTTGCTAGAGTTGAGATAATAACAGTTTCAATTTTTTGGGATCATGGTTTTCCTTCTTATATATATATATATATATATATTGCATGTTTGGTTATAAAAAAAAAAAAAAGCTTTTTCTTTCTGAATAATGCTAGGGAAAACAAATAAAAAACCTCATTTTATTTGATATATTTGTATTTTAAACTCTTAATTTCAGATATCAGGATTGAAATCTGGATTATTTTAAGTATAAAAAAATTAATTTTAAACAATTATATATTATTCATGAACGGTCCTTGATTTTGTGCCACCCACTTGAGGGCCATAACCCATATGCATGATTGGTAATTGCAGGGAACTGTTCACAATTTCAAGCAAAAAGCAATTGCAGGGACCCCATTCCATGAAACATAATGCGACCAACCATGCCTTTTTTCTTCTTGCTTTTACACCCAAAAAAAAAAAAAAAAATCCAAACACACAAAATGTTACGTGTCTCTTTTGAAATGGAATAAACATAATCATACAAAAATGACTTATTAGTTATGAATCCATACAATCTCATATAATTAAACTTTCAACTTTTCCCGATTGTACATTAATGATTATATTCATTATTGATGATCATTCTACATATAATTAAGCATCACTATATCATTGAAACATTCTTTTGCTCGTCGAATCATTGATTGGGCAATTGCTTGGATAATCACTAATCGATTGATAATTATAAAATATGTTATTTTTGGATAGAGATTTTGAAAGGTTAATTGAATCGAATTAATCTGATTTGATTCACGAACATTTCTACATGAAAATTATAAGCTGAAGTTAGCATAATTTTGTTAAGCCAAGAGATTTAATTAAACCTAAAAACCATATGTTCTTCTCTCTTACAATCACCTTTCTCCTTAAACCAACCTTAGAATCGATCCAACGGTCCAAATTTCATCATCAAAACATCAAGATGATGCTCAATTTCTCATTTTATGATCCATGTCTCTTACTCCATGGAAGCTTGAACGAAAATTTCGGCCTCATGTTTCATGTGGGACCTTTCGAAGAGCTGTGGTGGTGAGACCAACTTTTTTCACCGACCCAAAGCAGATAGAGAGAAGGAAATGAAGGAGATCATATACTATTACATTACACCAAAATATTAGTACTATTTGTAAAAAAAATATTTTAAAACTATTTCTTAGGTTGGCCCCAAAGACAAGAACCTTACAAGAAGGTGTTGTGGGACCCAGTGCGATCTGACGTGGCACGTGGGAAAAGTGAAAATCAACCTGACTTTGAGCATCTGATAAAGACTAATCTCTTCATCCCACACACTACGGCTTGGCCACCCCACCACCATCACCCAATGAAAATCTTTGGTTTTTTTTTTTTTTTTTTTTTCTTTTGGTAATAGTATCATGTCTTTCCGTTTTGTTTGAATCTAATTTCCTTTCAAACGATTTTAATAACATATTTTCCGTATAGTTTAATTTCTCATATTAATAAAAATTTTACTTTTAAAATGCGTTTCACAAGATTTAACCTTTAATCAAAAAAAAAAAAAAACGCATCCTTTTATCAATCAGGCACCCTTGTGAGTATATCCAATAAGATATGAAATAACTTTAATTCCCCCCTTTTTTTTTTTGGTTAGTCCAAGACCTACGATTACTTAAAAATTATTGGAAAATTCCTGATATGATTCTTGGATTATAGCTATCGTATTCAAATTCAAGAATAAGGATATTTTCGTTAAATCTTATCCATAATAAAGTTTATGATGTTCATATACATAAATGTCTTGCATGATTTGTGTAATATGCCTTTATCAATGGTCTTATTTAAAAAATTATAGGATGTCGGCAACCATACTAATCAAATGGTGTCGTCACGAAACATTCAATTTAAAAGCTTAATTACTTGTTAAAGTATGATTCGAGAATAAGCTTTATTCATTAACACATCTATTCATAATTTTTATTCATTAACATATTTTGGTTTGATAATCTATTCACATAAAATTGATCACTTTAAACATTTTAGTCATAGAAATTCTAACATCACGTCAAAATTACTCAACATTTTTTTTTCATTAAGCCAAAGAAATTTATTAAGTAAACAAGAGGCTAATTCAACGAAAATGTTTAAATTAAATCATTGTTTTCCATTCAATCCCTCCGTCACCGTGAACCCTAATTAGATTCAGGCATAATACACTTTTTAATTATTGTGAGAATCCGAATACTCTCTTTTGGATCCAGGAGCGGTTTCAAAGAAAAAAAATTCTTATCATCAAAAACAACATCTAACATCTCACTTGAGGCCTTAGGGCTTTGTAGATTTGATATAAGCTTGTTATAATTTGGTGAAGGGGACTGAGATCCTATCTAGGCCACTTTAATTCTATGACATTCTTTAAATTTTCAGCACAGCTAGTATCCTATTAATTTTGAAAATGATTAATCGTTAAACATATAAGGGTTATTAAAGACTTTCAAGCATTTATATCCATGAGATATGTATTTAATGCAATGAAAAAAATACTTATCAAACAAAAATTGCAAGATAAAAGGTAAAGAAGTGGCATTCACTTAGTTCCAATGAACCAGTTATTTCCTTTTTTTTTTTCTAAAAAAGGAAGAACTTAGATTAATTGATTTCTTTATTTTAACTTGATTTTGCATTGAAAAATAAAATTAAAAAAAAAGAAAAAGATCTAACGAGAAATGGTCTTTTTCATTATTTTTGTCCTATGAAGATTGACCTTGGTCTACCTTCTAAGCTCTAAGTTCTAACTTCACTTTTAGAAAAGAAATATTGCTCTTATTCGGTTTACTTTCACACTGAATACCATATACAAATTATGATGAATTTATACATGCAAATCCTTTTTTTTATTCTCAAATTGTGATATTTTTTATACCAAAAAATTGTGATGACTTGTATATTAGATAAAATTCTTTGATCATAATAACAAAGAATTATCATTTATCATTTTAATTAAATGGTTCAAATCGCTGGCCAATTATCTTTATCATGGGTTCTTTTCCCATCATTTTCCTAATTCCTTTTTGACTTAAATCTAAAATGAATGTTGTATTGACTTAAAAATTAGAAAATCAAAGTCAGGCAAAGAAAGTGTAAACAATAAATAGGCGATTGAGAAAAAGTGACAAGAAAATGTTGAATGTATCACTATAGGGTTTGCTTAATCCTAGTATGCCTAAAATATTCTATTTCTTTTCACACTTTTTTTCTTGTCTCTTTGGAATTGAGAGAAAGATTGTAGTGGCTCATCTTGTCTTTCATATATATGGAATGTATATTACTTCTTTGCCAAAATCCCATATTGCTAATTGAAAAATACGAAAAATTATAGCAAAAGGGAAAGTTAAAAAAAAAAGAAAAAGAAACTTATATATTTTACATGCAAAAAGGTTAAATAAAATAAAATTAAAAATCCTTAAGGGGACAAACCCAAGAAACAAAGGTACATTCGATTGTGACACATCCACCCGTAAGACTCCCCCACCAAGACCAACTTTTCTTTAAATTTTTTACATTTAAAATATATTCCATTATTAAGTTATTAATAATAAAATATTATTTTATTGTAACGAGTTTCACCTAGGGTTTCCTCTCTTTCTCAAAACATGCATGGCCACTATATCTTTTTCGGGCACTGTAATAATAAAAAAATTAAAAAACAAACAATCAGCATAAACAAAAAATTGAAGCTTACCTACTAAGAAAAAAAATGTTCTAACTCTAAAAAATTTAATAAAACAAAAAGAGAGAGTGGGAGGTGAGAGAAAACAAAGAACAAAATAAATAAACAAACACTGCCTTAAGCTTTCCTTTTATCTTTTTCATTCTCTGCTTCTCTCTTTCTCTGCAACTTCCCTTGTGTTTTGATGTGATTCTCCACCATACCTCCCAAAACCCTTTACAAAAAAGATAGAAAGCTCAAGCTCACACCATGGTTTTCTCTTCTGTTCCAGTCTATCTAGATCCACCTAATTGGCAACAGGTAATGTTTTTTTTTTTTTTTTTACTAGTAAATTTTTAACCCAGATTTTCTTTTCTTTTCCTAGCTAGCTTCTTCTCCAAAAAAGATAATTAAAGATAAATAATATTCCTACCCTTCTCTTCTCTTGAATATACCATTTATTTGATCTTCTTCTCTTTTTTTTCTTTATGTTTTGATATCTTTGTATAATTTTTTTAAAAAAATTCTACAGCCACCAACTCATCAGCAACCTGGAGTTATTACTACTGAGTATCTTGGTAATTCCCAGCTTCCACCAGCACCACCATCTGTTGGTGGTGGTGGCGGCGGCGCAGGCTCAATTAGGCCTGGTTCTATGGCAGAACGAGCCAGGCTAGCTAAAATACCACAACCTGAGGCTGCTCTCAAGTGCCCTCGTTGTGAATCAACAAATACTAAATTTTGTTACTTCAACAATTACAGCCTTTCACAGCCTCGTCACTTTTGCAAAACCTGTAGACGATACTGGACTAGAGGAGGTGCTTTAAGGAACGTACCGGTTGGTGGTGGTTGTCGAAGAAACAAAAGAAGCAAAGGAAGTAATCGATCACAATCTCCATCAGTAGTATCCGAACGCCAAACCGGGTCAAGCTCATCTTCAAGTACACTTGCTTCTAATAGTTGCACTGATATGTTGGGCCACATGAACCCAGCACCACCACAGTTGCCTCTATTACCCCCTTTACATCATCTAGGAGACTATAATTCTGGTGATATTGGGATAAATTTTGGGGGACTCCAGGCTCAGGTGGCGGCGACAGGCGGTGGTACTAATGCTATTAACATGGATTTTCCGATTGGAACTAGCTCAAGTGGTGGTGGGTCGATGTTAACAAATGGATTAGTAGAACAGTGGAGACTGCAACAAGTTCAACAATTTCCATTTTTAACTAGTTTGGAGCAGCCTCCAACCGGGTTTTATCCATTTGAAAGTGAAGGTGTAGTGGAGCCACCAAGTTATCATCAGCTTCGGTCTAAGCCATTGGAGAGTGTGATTACTCAGTTGGGAGCTGTTAAAATGGAAGAAACTCAAGGTTTGAATTTATCAAAGAATTTCTTGGGAATCCCAGGAAGTGATCAATACTGGGGTGGTGTTGGTGGCAATGCATGGACTGATCTTTCTGGTTTCGCCTCTTCTTCTACCAGCCATTTCTTTTTCTTTTTTATATATCTTTACTTCCCCCAAAACCCAATCCAACCGTTTTTTTTTTTTTTTTTGGTTCAATTACTTACAGGTTTCATCAAAGAGAAATCAAGTCATAGATAAGGATTTTCAATGAACAACTACTCTAACTTTTGCAAATTTCAAGTTTCCAACCCGAAGACGAGAAAGTGATGATCAATTGGAAAAGGAATCGATCGAATGAATTGCTTGTCACTCCATGATCTACTAAAAGAGAAGACTTTAGAAAATGGTAGATTTCTGCTCTTGAAAATTATTTGCAGTTCATTTTTTTTTGTTGTGTTCTATTATTGTAATGCTCTAAGAAATTAAGTAGGTCTATATGTAATATTCATGCAGAGAGTTTGATCTGACATGAAGATGACAGTTTATTGTTGATAAAAAATGCTTTGTACTAAGTGATTTCCCTTCAAAAATCATATGTGAAAATGCATCCATAATTTTTTTTTTGGGTTTTCTTTATTCATTTGAATTCTCAAATTTTCACCTTTTTTCTTCTATGTGAAGGTTGAAGACTTTCATCATTTGCCAAAATTGAGAAAACAAATTTCCCAAATTACATACATTATTAATGTACAATTTATAGGACTTTAAAAAAAAAAAAAATCTTGAAACCATATCAAATCTTGATTATTTCTTCTCCTTATTTTAAACTACATTTACAGTTAATTTGATTTACTATACGTGATCAGTGTTAATTACCTTCAGCATTAAAAGATTAGTCATCGAATGAGGTAAGTACTTTCATGTAATGGAATAGTTTTCTATCAAGAAAAACTACTCTTTCCTTTCAATGTTTTGTTTTTGGGTTTCTCTTGGACAATACTTAGGCAAGGTTTTTTAGCTCAAGCTCGTGAGATTTTCTATTAAAAGTGATTAAATAAATACTAAAATCGAAATATTAAGATTATGTGTAAGCAATTTAAATTTTTTAAAATAAGTTTTGACATACTTTTTAAATAGATATTTTAAAATAAAAATTTTAATAGATTTTTCCTGTTAAATAAGTATTAACTAAATTTTAATTATAATTACCTTTAATAAATTTTCTTTTGTACATATTATTGATTTTTTCAGGAATTCTATTAATCTAAAAATTTTTTATTTTCAAAATAAATTTTTATATGATAAGTTTAACGGGAACTTATGTAAGTTCTCTCTCTCTCTCTCTCTCTCTTTTAACTTGTTTGCTTAGACATTATGGAGATAACCCTAGGAAGCACGTATCATGAAATAATTATAGTTTCCACTCACACACCTTTGCTTTTTAGGCCAAAACAGTGAGCAAATTCCTTTTTTTTTTTTCTCTGGTGCAGTAGTCTGAAAGGGGTTCAGTCCTTTCAGTAACTCTCCATGCTTTGTTTCATCAACATCAAGCCCTCCCCTTTCAAGCAGTTGAACCCAAAGTCATTTATTACTGCTGCCATAGGGATCACTGATCAGTATTTCAGTTCCCCTTTAATCGTTTTTCTTGGCAATTCCAGATTCCTAGATGTCTCTTGGTCTTACATCTTTTAGGAAATTTAACCTGAGGTTAGTTATTTTTCACCCTCCCAAGAAAAAAAATAATTTTGTCTTGAATGCATCTAAGTCTGTGCCCTTGCCATATTGCCATGCATGCTTTTAAGATAAAAAAAAAAAAAAAACCCAAGATAGAGAAAGAGAAAACAGATTTGACAATGAACGAATTTTAAATGACTACGTAATTTATCGTCGAATTTTTAATTTCAATAATGGAAGATTAATTTTGGTAGTCTAAACTATAATTTTTTTTTAAATAACCCTAGGGAAGTCCTTATAATTTGTTGCTTTGTGGACTAAAATTGAATGATGATGTAATTACAGGAAATTTTAGCAGGAAAGTTTACAAAAAAGAAGATACCGAAATTTTTGTTTTTTGTACAGCAATACGAACTGAGAGTTTGGACATGAGAAAGTTTAAAAATGACAAAACGCCAAAATCTCACTCAAAACCATGCGATGATATTTGTCCATCCATCCAAGATTCTCCATTTTTGTTTGCAAATTCCTAACGAAAGACCAAAACGTAAAACAAGAAAGTATAACAGTTGATCAAGTCAAAAAGTATAACAAGAAAGAACAAACTACATTTCTCAAAGACTTTCCCTTTAACCATTTGTTTGGTTTTCCACATTTTTGTGTCAACGTTTTTAATTATTTGAAATTATAAAAAAATTAATTTTGATTATTGAAATTAAAAATTTAATGTTTTATATTAATATTTAGATAATAAAGATAATGATGTCATTGATAGTATAAAATTATTTAAGTAATTTTATGAGAGAATGGAATCTGAGTTTTGGATCTGCTTTTACAATAACCAAGGCAGCTTACTAACAAGGAATAAAGTCATCTATCAAAAAAGCAGATCTCCTGCTCTCTTTGAGAGCTATAGTTTTTGTATTTTTTTTGCTGGTGGCTGGTGGGATGGAACAAATGAGATATGGATCCAAAATTGTCTATGGAAATTGAGAATTGTTCTAAAAAAAGAAAGGAAAAAAAATAAATGGAAGAAGAGGAAGAAGAAGAATTGAGCTCGGAAATCCAAGCAAAGGGTGGCTAGTTTTTCTTGTAAAATATTTGAAAATATTAATGTTGATGGCCACAATGAATTGAAAGTATTTTTACAGGCATGAGATGTTCTCTCTGTTTCCTATGGCAGCTTTCACTTTTGAAACGTCCTTGTTCTCTTTTCTTTTCTTTTCTTTTGCTATGAGATTCCAATCTATGCAATTCCTCTTTCAGTCCCTCACGTTCTTCCACATGTGCTCAATCATACAAGTGTTAGATTCTAGTCATCACTTCTACACATACTTCATTCTATCACTATTATCTTCTTTTTTAATAAATTATTATATCACAATTATCTTCTTTCTCTCTCTCTCTCTCTCTCTCTCTCTCTCTCTCTCTTTATACAAAATCACATCCACAAATCGAAATTACATGGCAACTTTAACAAGGATGACATATTATGACATTCAGTATAAAAATTAATTAATAAATTATATAAAATTAAATCAAATCCACGTACAATGTTTTGAATGAGGTAATTAAAGTTGCATTGAGTGATAAGTTGCATTATGCGCTTCCATTTTATTCCACCTTCGACATACAATCGATCATATATATATATATATAATATAATTGGAAGCTTGCGCAATTAAGCACTAACTTTTGTTTGCAATGCATTGCTTTGGTTTAATTCTTTATTATTACATATATATAGAGTCTGGATAATTACAAAGAACGGTCATAAAAGTGATCAGATTGTTTAATTTTGACTAAAATAGTTAACCCACATTAAGAACCTAGCCCTGTGAACCTCATCAATGGTATCTTGATTGAAGCAAAAGAGGATAATTTGACTGGAAAGAACATTTGTGTTAAGCTTAAGTTCAAATCAAAAGTGGAAATCAACTTGATGAAGCATTATAATGTGCTTTTACATTAATTTTTTGAAGCTGATGATGTGAAATGGGGCTTTTAATTATCAGTCTATTGCAGGAAAAAAAATTACAAAAAAAAAATCAGCTTATTGGAATGTGATGTCATACATAAAGGTAATTGAAAAGGCTTCTTGGCCTTTCTATCTAATGGGATTGGAATGTCTGGGACATCATAAATTTACACATCTTAAAATGATCATAAGAGAATATATATATATTCACATATCCCTATTCCTAATTATGTCATTTAAGTTTTTTTTTCTTTTATTAATTGTTAAAGAAAAAAAGGCAATGAATCCTTTTGCCTGCCCAAATTAAATTGTAACTTAGCAACAACAAGAAACCCTTTTGAGAAACCAATTTAAAAAGGAACTAGCATTGGAAAAGGGAGGGGATTCCTATCTTATGCTAGCTTTTGCTTTTTGGTATGAAATTGATTTTGTCATTATGTTCTATAGCCATGAACCTTATTATGACCAAGGATTGAAAGTAGGAAAAAAATAACGGAAGAAAGAAAGAACGTAAGCATCATTATCAGATAACGGGTATCCCCATACGAATATCTTAGTTGTTAAAGCTTAAAGATTCAATTTTGAAAGTCTCAAGTTTGAATTTTAAGTTAGATGGCATGAAACTTATGGGATGGGACTTAAGCTACTTCCCATTGTATAACTCAATATCAAATGTATATTAAAAAAAAAAAAAACAACAGATAACTTTCAAAAAGATACTATTAATATTATTTTACACCTTCACCCTTAAGTAAATTTTCTTGCCTTTAGTAAAAAGCTCCTCTCAATATAAACTTCAAAACTATACAACATTGATGCTACTAAGCAAGCACATTAAATTAGAATATCATCTTGCCTATTCGCTGATAATCTTTGACTGAAAGATTTGGGCCAATTGACTGACAAATTTGTGGCTCTCTTGCTCTCATCTTCAAAGTGGAGTTTGATTGGAGATGAGGAGCTAAAGGCAAATGGATGATGAGAAAATTTTTGCTCCCCAAAAGTACAAGAAGTTTTAAAATTATACATTGAAATGTGTAAAGAGATAAGAGGCCCATGCAAAGCTCCCAACATATTTAATCCGAAATCAAATTAAAATTCCACTGCCATAAACGTCATGGTCCTACTTAATCATTTGCTTTTTTTTAAAATTGGGTCATGTCTCACTTTAGTATTAAAGTTGATTAGATCAGCCATTAAATTTGGGCAAAGGATCGTTTGAAACATAATTATTTTTGTCCTAGTAATCAACCCCAAGAGATTGATCTAATTTGATAATCAAAATTTGAGATGGCATAACTTATAAGCTCAATAAATTTTCTTCTCTCTACTTCCTTTTACTTGTCGGTTAAGAGTTCATGACACTTTCAACAATAGTGGAATAATGGTACATTGGCTTAAAAATTTTTTAGTTCTAGTAATGAGTTAAAGGAACAAATAAACTCATTTTTTTCAAACAAAGGAGGCCGTACTTTAAGAATATAAAAAAAGATTATAAATTTTAAAATTTAAATATTAAACTTATTAAATATTGCTCAATTACTTAAATTAATTAAATTAAATCTGAATTCATAAACAGAATCATTTATTTCGTATTTAATGAAAGAGGATGGCATTTCAAACTCAATTCTTTGAATAAATTAATACATGCAATTACCATTGAATCAAATACTCGATAATCGGTTGATTAATGATTTTATTTTGTGTACATAAATATTGCCAACAAGCTCACAGAAAGTTCGAAACGTAATGCTAATCAATCCAAGCGTGGAACAAGAAATTGGGAGATTTCTACCTGTTTATTCTCCCACAACTTCTGGGTCAAGGAACCCAGTAAGTTGTGAGCCCATCACATGATCCAAGTAAATAAATTATAAGAAGGATTTGGGCTCGATTGACAACAGATGGTAAATTGGGCTGCAGGGTCAAAAATACTAAATTCAAAGAAATTTAATTGCATCAAAACTTCAGATGGAGAGTAAGTGGAATGTTAAGCCTAAGCAGCAATGGCGAATAAACTGTACCAGACACAAGAAATCCATAA